TGTGTGTGTGTGTGTGTGTGTGTGTGTGTGTGTGTGTGTTTGGTGTTACACTGTCATGCACTTTGAAACCAGATCAGTGCCTAGTCCAGTTAGCATCAGAGAGGCTGCCTGTGCCAGCAGATGGGAGTGGGTGAAAAGACCCACAGCCAAATATTATGCAGAGGGTCTAGGATTCCATTGACTCCTTGCTCTCAGAGCTCTAGGAACCCCACAGAAAAGGAGGACAAAAGATTTTAGAGTCAGATTGGATGGAGGACACCAGGAGAATGTAGCCCACTGAATCAGTAAGAAGGTCTGATATGGGCTTCAGAGACAGAAGTGGCAAACACGGGGCCTTCAAGGGTCTGCACTTGGTTATCTGAGTATATGTCATGGCCATTAGCTGGTGTTTTTGCTGGACTCTTAACAGTGAGAGTGGGTGTGTCTCTGACCATCTTGCCTGCTCTTGGGACTCCTTTCCTCCTATTAGGTAGCCTTGTCCACCCTCAATGTGAGGGGATTTTTGCCTTGTCTGATCATAAATGTTTGTCCTGTGTGGTTGTTTCCTCTTGGAGTGATGCTCTTTTCTGAAGGAAAACAGAGGGGGATTGGATCTGGGGAACAGGAGACACTGATGGGGAGGGTTCTGGGAAGAGAGGGAACTCTGATAGAGATGTATGGTATGACAGAAGAATCTATTTTCAATATAAAGAAAAGTAAATACGAATAGAGTGTTTTGATTTTATTCTTACTTTCAGTATAATTTCATTGATACCGGATTTCTTATGGTTCTGTATAAATTTTACAATTATTTTGATAATTAGCATAAAATAATAACACATATGGGAACCTGGATAGTGACTGCACCCAATCTGTCCCTTCCTTGTGAATACTGCATTCATAATAATGTTAAGACTTCTTGTCCAGGAATTTGGGACATGCTAAACCTTATAATGATCTTAATAATCATATGAAAATGACTTATTGCCTAAGTGTATATATTTTATAATAACTCACTTTTTATTTCTAAATATTTGTTTTCCTTTTAAGATGTTGCTGCATCTTATACTGCAACATCTCATACTGCTTATGACAATCTCGGACTCAGGCCCTGAGGTGCTTGCTTCTCCCATGTCTCCTGTGGAGCTTTCACTGAAGACGCAGACCCCACACCTATCTGGTGGTATTGTAAATACAGGGGTTTTTGCCTTTCATTTCCCATTGTTAGTTTCTTATGTGTAAACTGAGTTGAAATTTTATATTTTTATATAGTTTCAGATTGCTGGCTATATTTTAAAATCAGGGTTTTTTTTTTGCATTTCATGTTATTTTTTCTAACTAGAAGTAGTTTTTTTTTCCTTTTCATAAGTAAAAGACAGCATATCAACCTACTGTTCTTTTTTCCCAATAATTTGACCAAGATCAATGTCAAATAAATATTCAGTGAAGTGGCATCCACCTGTATCTTTTGGTTTATAATGTTATGAAAGTAATGAACCTTTTTAGAATTCTAGGTATTTCCTTCCATTTGAATCCATGAAATGTCAGTTCTGTACATGATCTGATTTTGATGTTTTTTCCTTTTATTTAGCAGTCTTAATAAATATATTTTTATGAATTCACAGAATGAGTTTTAGTCATTTTCATCTCAATTCTCCTATCTCATTCTACTCTTTTTTTCTGTGGAATTACTACATTCTAAATCTGCTTATTACTTTTGTTATTTTTAAAAAAAGAGAATTTCATACAAGACTAGAGTAGTTACATAATTTTGGCATCCCTTGTTGCTGGAGAATTTCTCTCCAGCTCCCACCGCCAAGTCCCGCCAGTCCCAGAGCCCACTTATAAAATAAACATACAGACTCTTACATTATTTAAAATGCCTGGCCATTAGCTCAGGCCTATCATTGTCTAGCTCTTACTCTTATATTTAGTCCATTTCTATTAATCTTTACTTTGCCACGTGGCTCATGGCTTACCGGTACTTTACATCTTCCTTGTCCTGGCGGCAGCTCCAGGGAGTCTCCCCTATCCTTCCTCCTTCCTCAATTCTCCTCTGTTAGTCCCGCCTATACTTTCTGTCTGGCCAATCAGTGTTTATTTACACAGAGTGATATTCACAGCAATCTCTGTCTGTCCAATTCATTTGGTGTACTTATCTCTTCATTCTCAAAATCATGACCTCTTCATCACTAGTTCTCAACCTGTGGGTCACTGCACCTTTGAGGATCAATTGACTCTTTTACTGGGGTCTCCTAAGACCATTGGAAAACATAGAATTCTTGATATAAAATATAAAAATTTTAAACTAGGTAGATTACCCACTTGTAAAATGTTTCTCATGAAGATACAAGTTTCAATACTTAGTAGTTACAGAAGCAAACAGACCCCCAGGGTGTGATGGTGTGCCACTGTCTTTCCAGAACTCATCTGCCAATCTAAGGAGCTGCTGAACTCTAGGATCAGTGATAGATACTGTCTCAAAAAAATAGAAGTGGATTGATGAAAAGATCTGATGTTGTTCTTGCACATATTGTTCATGCACATATTGCACATATTGCAACATCCACACATACCCATGATCACATACATAAATACTATTAATTGTTTATTTTGTTACCTGTTTCATTTTCCTAATCTATGTTTAACTATATACCATATCCAAATGTCTTTATTGAAATTAATTTGTCATAAGTTTTGAAACAGATCAAAAGTTCTGGTCTTCCTTCATTAATTTTCATTATCTGAATATTGTGTTAATGTTGGATATACTATGGCAGTTCCTTGTGAAGTTTAGATTTGTTTGGCCCTAGAACAAAAAGTAAGATGACTTGTCTTAGGATGGGGATACCATTAGTCTCTAATAGCTTTGATAATCTCTGACTACTTAAAGTCTATGAATTGCTACATTAACACTGTATTTGTGTTATTAATAATCTTAAATGCATGTTTGTATCTTTAAGTATTCTTACACTCATTTATCCCTGTGTTTATCATTTAAGGAATGTGAAGTATTTCTGATACAGACTCTGACTTCTGCTCAGTGAAGTTGCAACACAAGCACTAAAGCCATGCTTCCTCTCAGCATCCTGAGAAGCTCACACTGGAGAACACTGCTCTCAGCTTATGGTATTGTAAAATCAATTTCTTTCCAATTTTGTTTTTTATTATTGATTACTTATATAAATAATTAGATTTAATTTTATATTTTGTTATGCTTTACAAATTGAGGATATTATTAGACATTAGTACATTTTTGTCTTACTTAATACTTTTCAGTGCATAAAAATTCACAAAAAAAGTAGATATTATATTATTTACCTTAAGCACCAGACTTCTAAGAAACAGAAAAGTATAGTTCTTATTTTCTCCAGGAAGTCTTTTGAAGAAGAACTCCATTAAAATGAAAAAGGGAGAAGGTAAAGGTGCTTATTATTGGTTACTGTTCAAACCTGCAGAAGTACCATCCTTTAAGGATCTGTTCATGTGCTGTTTCCATACATAATATATCATATTTACATATATTGGAGGTTTTCATTTTGATTATTAACTTTTATTCTGTCCTATTTATATCCTGTAAGCATGTGGATCTGCCCTCTCTGGGTTTTGATGAGTTTGGTACCAAATAGACCCCGTGGAAAGATTTCTAAAGTATCACTTTATGTGTGTATTATTTCTCAGTTATTTGTTAAGTAGTAGCCTCAGTTCTTTAAATACCTGACATTATGCACAAGGAAAATATTCATGAGTGGTCAGGAAATGAAACATAGCAGCAATCTTATGTACTTGTAAGGGAATCCAGATTGGCTAAGCCAAATTATTTTCCTCGTCCTAGATCATAAGAAAACTCCATATTAGTGACCACTGGGGTGATGTATAAGTATAGTTTGAACATTGAAAACACTTGTTTGTTATGGGAACATTACATACCTAGCTTAAGTACATTGTGATATCCTTTTAAGGTGTAAAATAGAGAAAAGAGTGGACATCATGAAGTATACTATATAGATTCCTAGAACTGTCAACAATGGTGATTATATTATCATTTTATGTTTGTATAGAGTTCACAAATACAAAGCTAAATTAGCTGGGAATTGCAGGCACTGTCTCTCACACCTTGATATTGTAAGAAACTACAAATAACATCAGACTATTATTGTTCTAAGTCCATTTTATTTAGTGGAATCTACTTTCAGACATACATAGAATAACTTTATGCACAAGATGCTAATTGAATGTGTTGAAAGTGAAAATGGGTGTAGCTTCCATGATTATCCATCATGCCAAATCCAGGTGCCGCTGCTCAGGAAGTTACTTACCCACTGTGAACTCTTTTTTTCTTCCACATCATACCTTCAATTTACCATTGCTTATAGGTGAAGGACATAAACATGAAGACAAAAGTATTTTAACAGATTTAACCCATTAATAATTTAGCATTCCTTGCACACAAACGGGTTAATCCAAATGCATGAGAAGAGACATAAGCACCACCCTTGAAGTAACCTAGGATTAACAAAATAGGATAAAGATTCTAACTCTGAGCTGGAAAACATAGAATCACTGAGTAGCAAGGACTGCCATATCATCGCACACATCTCTCTCTCTTCACACTTATTGCTCTGCAGAGCAGCATTTGAAACTGTATTTCTTGTAAAGCCTTTGACATATACCTCATCCTCCAAAGTTAGCCATAAAACTACCACATTTGGCCAAATGATAAAATATTTCTCCAGACCACATTACTATTTTGCATGTGAAAACCTAGTTCTATGTCCTTGGGTGAAAGATATAAGAAACCATATCAACTTCCTCACTTGTGCTTTGTATAATGTCTATTAAGTGCTTTTATTTTGTGTATTTGGAATTCAGAAGTCCCTTCTTGCCTATAAGGTCATCCATACATCATTCACAATAACAGAAATAAATGTGTTCACCTCATTGTCATAGGACATTACTTAAGTCCTGTAACAATCATAATTTTATTCATATTTCATCATTTTTGTGGCTACCGTATCATATATCATTATGATTACAGTATGAATTTTTTTGCCTCTGCAGATTCTACACAGAAACACATGTGATGTTACCTTCATTACAGAGTGAAAT